ATCCATGCTGAATGTCCACTCAGTCCAAAYTCATTGCTGTTATTTCTCTTCCACCTTTCAATTTGTAGAAAACAAATGCTCTGTGGGTCCAGTGTCAAATGACCTTTCAGACCTTTCCCATCTTGCATATTATTTCCACAGGACACTGAGGTACTTCATACTGTCCATCAACCTGGCAGCCAAAAGCCATAAACATCATCATCTTTTGCTCACCTCTCCCTCCATACTGCTGATTCTCACAAGTTCGTTGAGGATCAGTAAGGCACCATGGATTCGGTCATCACGGTTCATCCCTTTCTCCTTGGCCAAAGTCTCATCAAAACCTTTCTCGGCCTCTTCATATGTATGCTGCGAGTGGAAGAGGAAAATAAAGATCACAATCACTATAACGGAGGCAAAGAGCAAGTGGTACAGCRAGTCAAGAGTTACTGACATCCTGTAATTTTCAAGAGTAGCCACAARCCTTAACTGAGTAATAGCAGAGCACAACACCAAGAAATTAAGTTTCACACAGCTGCAGAGGGCTTTCAACAGCCCTGATCAAAAAGACTGTCAGCCACGTCAAGGTACAAACTCCATCAATAGCTGGATCACAAACTTGACAACGAAGAATCCAACAACTAACTGCACTATCCAAATACTATATAATATTTGAAGCTTGAATTCCCATGACATGGCAGCAAAATTAAAGTTCAGACAAAAGAATCTTTACCTATTTTACTACATTAATGATTTTGCACTGTATAATAAGGAAGCTGTTTCAAAACCAAAATTATTTTCTTACTCTGTACCACTGGGGTTTCTGCATTTCTTTAGGCTCCCGTTGAGTGGTAAGGATAAGACAAGCTCTTAAGGCAGAAACAGCTCCCTCTCGAATGGCCTGTTTAGGATCCCACACAGCCACAAAAATATTGTCGAAGAACGGCTGCACTTGTTGGAAGAAGAAGGTAGGTACACTGATTGCCAGCTCACGCAGGACAAGAACCTGGAGACAGGACAAGAAATAGTCTGTGAAGGCAAGCACCTATAGACAGACATGGTAATTTTTAATCTGTAGTATCACTTATTTAGACTGTTAATATCTGTGAGCCGGAGCTAATTCCAGATCTGTCCTTTTATAGTACATAGCACAATGGTGTCTCAAACCTGTTTGGTCACTCAGCATTACTATGGTAGAAATGATGGAGAATCAATACTTCTCCTAGGCAAGCGTCACTCATGCTCAGACTTGGACTGGCAGCCATTGCTCCCTGATGAGAGTTCTTCTCCAGCTTTCCGGGCACATCTACCACTCTCTCTCAAGCTTAAGCATCCCATTCCAGGAGAGGTGAAGTTAAAAAGGACCACTTACAGCCGCATGTCTTCGACCTTCATTCCTGTCAGCTCCCAGCCATTCCAGAGCTCGTTTCACCTCAAACTCCACATACTCAGCTGTGAAGGTGTCACCGGCCATCGCGAGCCTCCCAATAGCCTTAGAGGCCATTTCCATGACAACAGGGTCATTGGATGGCAAGAGGTTCCGCAGGTAGTTGGCAAACCTGCCAATACGGGTGGCATTACCTCCTTCAACACCGATAAGACTTGCTGTGGAGAAAAGAAGCAGGGCTGTAGGTTCCACTTAACAGTCAGTGGGGCAGACAGCAGGTAATGCCTGGATGAGAGTTAGTATTCCCTATTCATTCCTTAAAGATTCCCATTAACTCTTCCTAAACTGAAAATGCACAGAAAAATCAAGCAAAAGGAAAGGGTCACCATTCTTTCGAGCCTGAACTTGTTAAGTGGACAGGAAAATGTAYCAAGCAGCTTCATAGATTTTCCCCCATTCTTTAGTTTAAAAAGAAAAAAATACATCCACCCTGGGATCACAGACCCATTCCCAATAGAAAGACATCCACATGCAACTACTACAGCTGGTCTGTCTCAGGAGAGAGGACCAARGAAACTGCTCTCCCCCTCGCCTCTAGAGACGGTCTCTCCAGGCCAAGGTGGAGGCACTTGGGCAGCGGGCAGCGTGGCGGAAGCCGGCGCTGCCGGGCCTGGGTTGTACCTGCTCTGTAGATAAAGAGGCCATCAGTGTCCAGGGTTGTCAAGCCGGCACCTTTCAACAGCACTAAATTCACAAAACAATTTTAAAGTGATACTGTCAGCTTAAAAAACAGACCTTGGCAATAAAACTTTCTCTAGTTAAGGGTCTTCCGCTGCCTTCAGGTATGTTGGAGTTGACGATTTTATCTGTGAGAGCCTAACCCATAGATAACTCCTATGTGGTTATTAAAAGAACTAATGCTCCAATATGGGCTAGTTGCTTGGAAGGTAAAGCATTTATACAAGCTGATTTCCCTAAAAGCCACAATGCAGGCAGTTCTGCCAAATCACAGTGAAAACAGAACCAGAGCAAATGATGGAGCAGCTGATCAGAATAAAAGCAGAAGCTGGGTGAGCCCCTCCCAGGGATGGAAGCTGCTGTCATTGAGCCTGGTGAATTTAAACAACAGGAATCAACATCCTCAGGCAGAGGAGAGCTTGGATAGTCATCCCACCATGATAACATATAAGCGGGCAACACAAACTTTTTTCAGATTAGCTCTAGATCAGAATTTTTGAGTGCTCAGCGCTCACATTTGATGCTCTGCTCCTAGAGGAGTTCAGTGGCCTGCGAGCACCAGGTTTTCAGCCACGCTCAGCACTCAGCAGCTCCCATACTGATGCTCTCGGACAGATTTTCAAGAGAGCCCTCCAACTAGCACGCACYCAGCGTACTAAGCATTCAAATGCAAGGCCCTGATGACAAGAGTTTATTCCTTTTGAAAATCTGTCCCTAAAGAATAGTTGCATGAAGAGAAAACTCACCAAAGGCATTAAGCACTTTGACTCACCTATAGCCAGAATGCCACCCTTCCTTTCATTTGCATCAGAGCTAGAAACCAGCTCAAATATATGATGGTTCAGTTGATCATAAAACTTGGTGGATTCTTCTTGGCTCATCTGTTAAGGGCAAAAAGTTCAAATGAACTTTCATTACTCCCATAACCAGAGACATCCCCCAAAAGACAATGCCTTCTAGGTCTTTTAAACAGAAAGAAATGAAGTTAAACGTACATTACAAATACAAAGTGGTATCTCTCCTTCAAGTTCTAGACCCGTAGGTTTTATTTACTCTGTTGCATGGCCACCATCCGTGTGACCAACTCAGCCCCCTTGGTAACACACAGGGTGAAAGGAAAGTCCCATCGTTTGCTGCATCTCCTCTCCAATACCAGTTTCCATATTCCAAAACCTCCACCCCCAAATGACCTAGCCCACGCATTACACTTACGTGACAGCAATAAATTATCTCCTTAGCAGGACTCACCTCGCGGAGCTCCATGGTGACGTAGTGCTGCAAGTCCTTGGCGGCTTTTGCCCTTGTCTCTTCGCTGCGACTCTTCAAGCCGTTGGCAAATTGCTGGAGAATGGACACCGTGCCTGACATGATGGCGGTGCGTCGGGGCTGGGCGCATCAAGACCTGCAAGTGCTTCACACAAAAAAAACCTTTCTTTTACTGCTTTGACCTACTGCACGAAGCCGAGCTTCTTCCTTGATGTCACCTCTCCTGCTTCCAAAACATGCCAAAGTRTGAAGGGATGCTGTGCCGAATGCACATTAAAAATAACTAATGCCTAGTCTCCCGGGCCCTGGAGTGCTGTGATAAGACTATATCATCATGTAATGTTGTGACACAGCTCCCTCGCTCCCTAGTTCCTCAAATAAGCTCCAGCGGGCCCATTTATTGACCGGGTGTGGGGGTCTACGGTGATGCCAAGAGGATGCGAGACAGCTGGAGGGCTGCCACGGCAGACGGCAGCTCCAGAACTGCTCTGCGCAGCCAGGCAGGACGGGCAGCTCCGTCGCCATGTCCCCGTGGTGCCCGAGGCTCCGCGGGCCCCAGCGCCGGCCGCGCGGGACCGCGCTCCGCTCGGGGCCGCGCGGGCCTGCCCACGCAGCGGTCACCACCCYCGGCCACCCCTTCCCCCGCGGACACCCCGCACACGCAGCCGGGTCACTCCGCGCTCGTTTTCCCCGCTGCGGCGCGGGCCGCGCGCTCGCAGCGGAGCGGGGCGAGGCGCTGCCGCAGGGCCGCGCGTGCCGCGGGCGGGAGGGCCGCCCGGCAGCCGGGCCGGGCCGGGCCGCGGCGGCGCGGGCAGGGCCCGGGGAAGCGGCGGCCGCTGCCGCCAGCGCCGCTCGCGCCGCACTCACCGCCGCTCCCAGCGCCGGCTCCCCCGCGCCGGGCCCCTGCGCCCGCCTCTCCCCTCGCCGGCGAGGGGCCGCCCGCCAATAGGCGCGCACAGCGGCCGTGACGGACACGGCGCTGGACCAGTAGAAAAAGGGGAGAAAGGGAGGGCGCCCTTGCAGCCCAGCCCCTTACCCCCGAGGACGGCAAGGAGAGACCGTGGCGGTCAGCCAATCATCAGGCTAACTTGGGTGACTGGCAGCACAGCTCAACAATGGGAAGGAACGGCGTACTGGATTGGGGGGAAGTCGGGCTAGGCCCGCCCTCCCAGTGCCTCACTGGCTTCCGCCCGTGGGTGAGCAGCGAGCGTCTTCTGCGCGTGCGGGGGAGAGGAGCGCGCTGTGTGCGCCGCTCAAATGTGTCCGGCCTCGTGTGACAGCGCCAAGGGCAGCGCTGCGTTCCGTTACCGTAATGGCTCGCATAGCAGCGCAGCCCGGTGTTGCGCCGCGGAGCGCCCGCTG